GAGGGGATTGTAACCATGGCAATGAAACAATATACGATAGAATGTTCTCTCATGTTAACTAACATATAATTCACAATAAAACATTAATAAATAAACACTATCTTTTAAGTTACAGAAGAATTCCTAGAGTTAAACATCACAATAATGCAAACAAGTTGAGTACCTCACAAATTTGTGAAGGTCTTAACTGTACTGTGGTTTAATGCACTGGACTTCAAAGGTCAGTTTGAACTGCAAGGTTGGTGGTTCAAGTTCATCAGCTACTCTTCCAAAACCCTAAACAGGGTCACTATGGGTCGGATCTGACTTGATGGCATTGAAAAACACAGAAAAATAAACGAAACTGTAATAAAAATAACTAAGCCAATTTCTTAACAATACTAGTTAGGAATGTTGCCTCTCACAGATAAAAATTTTTCCACAATAAAAAATAAGCTAAGTTTAGGAACCATTAGGTAGTTTATGTTGTTGTTGTGAAATGCCATCGAGTCGATTCCAACCCATAGTGACCTTGTACAGGGTTTTTGAGAAGCAGCTGCTGAGCTTGAACCACCGACCTTGCAGTTCAAATGGCTTTGCAGTCCTGTGCATTAACACACAGCACCACACCAGGAGTACAAAAATAAAATTATTCAACTGAAACATGTTTCCATGGATTGTGTGTGCTTTTAAATTTTTTTATCAAACACAAAAATCAATGTTTCTATAAAACAGTAAAGAACAATCCACAAAGGAATTTAAGAAAGCAATTACATTTATTATTGTTGTTAAGTGCCATCGAATCAATTCCAATTTATAGCGATCCTGTACAGAGTTTCCGAGGAGCAGCTGGTGGGTTTGAACTGCCAATCTTGCAGTTCTCAGTCTATTGCTGATCCTACAGTGCCACACCAGAAAACAACATTCCATTACATTTATAATAGTATCTAAAAGAATGAAATATTTTTCCCAGTCTGTGGGCTCCCTTTTTTATTCTTTTGGTGGTATCTTTTGATACACATTTGTTGTAGTTGTTATGTGCCGTGGAGTCGGTTCCAACTCATAGCAACCCTGTATAGGGTTTCTGAGGCTATAAATCTTTACGGGAGTAGAAAGACTCATCTTTCTCCCATGGAACAGCTGGTAGTTTTGAACTTCTGACCTTGCAGTTCGCAGCCCAATTCGTAACCACTACACTACCAAAGCTCCTTACACATAAGTTTCTAATTTTTAGGAGGCCCCTGTCATCTATTTTGTCTTCTACTGTTTGTGTGGTTTTTATAATGATTGATAATATACGTATGCCCTGTATTAGAGCCCCTAAGTTTGTCACTACTTTTTTCATTGATGATCTTTATATATAGTTCTAAGTTTTACATTTAGGTCTTTTATCCATGATGAGTTAGGTTTAACCATGATGATAGTGTGAAATATGGGTCATTTTGCAACAACATATCAGATAAGGGACTAATATATGTAATTTACAGAAAACCACAACACCTCTACAAGACAAACAACCCAATTAAAATATGGGCACAGGACATGAACAGACACTTCACTAAGGAAGACATTACAATATTCTCCTCCAACACCATAACTGAAAAGCAGCCAACAAATATACGAAGAAATAAATGTTCAAAATCATTAGCCATTAGAGAGATTTAAATCAAAACAACCAGTATTATCTCACACAAGAATCAACAGTGAAGTTTTAAAAAATAGAAAACTACAAATGTTGGTGAGGGTGTGGAGAGACTGGGATCCTCCCACATTGCTGTTGTGACTGTAAAATGGTTTAATCACTGTGGAAAACAGTATGGTGCTTCTTGAGAAAAGTTGGAAACAGCAATACCTTATGTATGATCCAGCAATCCCTCTACTGGGTATATAGCCACAGAAATACGAGACAGGACACAATTAGATTATATGCACACCAATATTCACTTCAGCATTATTCACAATAGCAAAAAGACAGAGACAACCTAAGTGCCCATAAATGGAAGAGTGGATAAACTTTGGTACATATACACAATGATAAACTATGCAAGATTAAAAAAATAACAAGGAGTAGGCAAAACACCTCATAACATGGAGGAGCCTGGTAGACATTATGCTGAGTGCAATTAATCACAAAAGGACATACACTGTAAGAGATCATCATTGTAAAAGCTTAAGAAAAGGTTTCCATACTAAAAGATACATTCTTTTATATATATATATAT